TGTCATTTTTTTGACATATCTGGTCCATTACCACTCATTTTTGCTTTAAAGCTTTTCTGGGGTGGCAACACAGCTCTTAAATACAACAACTGTTAGGCTTAAATCTATGTTATGATTCTGCCATTATACTGTACTTATGCTTTAAGTGAATGTCTTTCATTTATTTAAATAACCAGGAGACTTCCCTAGTGGTCCAGAGGTTAAGACTGCACTCCCAATGCCGGTGACTGGGGTTCAATCCCTGGTCGGGGACCTAGATCGGTGGCTGGGGTTCAATCCCTGGTCGGGGAACTAGATCCCATGTGCATGCTGCAACTAAGAGTTCACATGCCACAACTAAGAAGCCCACACACTGCAACTAAGAAGTCCACATGCCGCAACTAACGATCCTGCATGCCGCAACTAAAGATGCTACAAGGAAGATCCCGAGTGCCGCAACTAAGACCCAGTGCAGCCAAGATAAAAAAATAAATATTTAAAAAAACCCATTAAAATAAAATTTAGAATAGATGGTTCTGATGTTGCTTCCTGAGGGTGGCTCTGCTGTGAGGAAGGAGGTGTTTGCCTCCAAAGCTCCTTCTTTCAGAAGGAAACACATGCTGTAGCTGGTGTCAGCTTAGTCACTGCTGAAACGGAGGTAACTACTAAGAATTTGGGTGTATGAAGTGCTTCAGCCTCCTCTGAGATGCCATGAGCTTTGCAAAAGTGTTTAATAATAACAGATACTGATATTTACTCTTTGTTCCCCTGATTTGAGGAAACTACTTTTTGTGGTTTTATTTCAATTCTTGACAGAAGATTAAATTTTTTTAAATGCTAAAGATTTGTCTATATTGTGTCATTTTCACACATTCTTGACTAAGAACTGACGTCTCAGTTTCCATTTCCATAATTTTCTCGTGTTTTATGCAATTTACCTCCAAGGACAAAGAAAGTTGTTCTCTAAAAACTATGCATTTTATCATATTTTATGGCTTCCCTGGTGGCGCAGTGGTTAAGAATCTGCCTGCCAATGCAGGGGATACCGGTTTGAGTCCTGGTCCGGGAAGATCCCACACGCCACAGAGAAAAAAAGCCCCTGCGCCACAACTACTGAGCCTGCACTCTAGAGCCTGTACTCTGCAAGAGAAGCCACGGCAATGACAAGCCCGTGCACAGCAACCAAGAGTAGCCCCTGCTCGCTGCAACTAGAGAAAGCCCGCGCACAGCAACGAAGACCCAATGCAACCAAAAATAAATAAATAAAATAAAATTTAAAAAAATCGTATTCTACTCCTTTCTATAAGCGCCCATTCAGGGTCTCTTGAATCAGGTTAGAACTCCTGAATGTTTGCTTCAACACTTTCCAACATTTCTTTCACCTTAGCATTTATATCACCAAACCTTTGACTTCCCAGTTCCCTCTTCCAACTCCAGGCTTTGTTTCTATCTGTTAAGGAAAGTTTACACTTTGGAAAATGCACCCTTCTTTCTGAAACATAAAATTCACATTCTCTGTGAAGTCTTTTTTAAAATTTTTATTTATTTATTTAGGCTGCATTGGGTCTTAGTTGCAGCACGTGGGATCTTTAGCTGCAGCATGTGGGCTCATAGTTACAGCATGCAGACTCCTTAGTTGCAGCATGCATGTGGATCTAGTTCCCCGACCGAGGATTGAACCCAGGCCCCCTACATTGGCAGCGTGGAGTCTTATCCATTGGACCACCAGGGAAGTCCCTCTGTGAAGTCCTTCTTGATAAGCCACACTTGGCTTTGTGTCAGCCCCCATTGTCCTAGCCATCCCTCAGTATCCATGTTCACATACCTTTGAAATTTACTCTCCATGTTTCACAAGTTGGTTAATGTGTAATTGCATATATGTATTATCCTATTTCTCCTTCTGACTCACCTCGTCAACTAACAACCCTCTCAAGGAAGAGATCCAGTGTCCTTAGAACATTCAGTAAGCTAAATATAATGACCCAATAGGTAAAGAAGGTGATGCATATCATCAAGGCAGATCAAAGACACCAGTTAGAATGGTGAAATGGAAAAGGACATCAAGAAGGTAGGTAAAGATAGAAGACAGACACTGCACATCACTGAGACCATCAGATGACATACATGCCTGTAAGCTGGTGAGCAGCGGATCTCTCCCCTGAGAAGTGTACTGAGTTCTTCCAGGTGCAAGCTGGTGTACACATGCTTTGAACTAGGACTCAATGGCCAGCTCTGTAAAGGGAAGCAGGGGGTCTTCGGTCCAATTTCTATCTCCTTCACTGATTCATTATCAGATGGTGAATAACCATCTTCATTCCTCAGTGTTTAGCTCTATTCACAAAATAGGTATTTTCATTTTTATACTCACTCTCTAGCGGATCTCTAGTTCGATAGCTTTAAATACTTCTCTTCTGAATTTGAGACTCATAGATCCATCTACCTACTCTACATCTTTACTTGGATGTGTCTCTTGGGCATCTTAATATAACCAAAACCAAAGCCTTGCTTTGCCCCCCACCCCCCGCTGGCTCCACCCTATTCCAGTACATCAGTACATGGCAACTCCATTCTTCCAAAACCGTGACTTAGACTCATCTCTCATCTCACATTCAATTGACCAGCAAATTTTGATGGATCTACCTTCAAAATATATCTAGAACACAGCTGCTTCCCACCACCTCCACAGATAACTTCTTGGTCTAAACCAACAAAATCATATACCTGGATTATCACAATAGCCTCTGAACTCTTCCCTTGCTTCCATCCTCAACCCCCTATAGTCTATTGTCTACACAGAAGCTAGCCTGATCACTTAAAAAGGAAAGTCATATCATAACACTTTGTTTTTTTAACATTTTTATTGGAGTATAATTGCTTTACAGTGGTGTGTTAGTTTCTGCTTTATAACAGAGTGAATCAGTTATATATATACATATATTCCCATATCTCTTCCCTCTTGCGTCTCCCTCCCTCTCACCCTCCTTATCCCACCCTTCTAGGTGGTCACAAAGCACCGAGCTGATCTCCCTGTGCTATGTGACTGCTTCCCACTAGCTCTCTATTTTACATTTGGTAGTGTATATATGTCCATATATACACTACCGCTCTCTCACTTTGTCCTAGCTTACCCGTCCCCCTCCGCATGTCCTCAAGTCCATTCTCTAGTAGGTCTGCGTCTTTATTCCCGTCTTGCCCCTAGGTTCTTCATGCCTGTCACACTTCTTAAAACCCTCCACTGGGACTTCCCTGGTGGTCCAGTGGCTAAAACTCCACGCTCCCAATGCAGGGGGCCTGGGTTCAATCCCTGGTCCGGGAACTAGATCCCACATGCCACAACTAAAGATCCTACATGCCGCAACTAAGACCCGGCGCAGCCAAATAAATAAATACTAACGAACAAAAACAAAAACAAAAACCCTCCACTGACTTCTCATTTCATTCTAAATAAAATCCAAAGTTCTTCAAATGGAATTCAAAGCTCAACTCACTTTTTTCTAGATCCCTTTGATCTCACCTCCTAACACACACCCTCTTATTTATCCAGCTCCAGCCACAAGGGGTTCCTTCCTGTTCCTAGAATATGCCAAACCACTTTATCTAATATGCATTTGATCCCACACATCACTCTCTAGTCAAGCACCATGCTTTATTTTTCTAAACAGCACCTATCATTACCCAACATATTTTTTTTTGTTTTGTCCCACTAGAATGCAAACTCCGTAAGAGTGCAAGTGTTGTCTGTTCTGTTCACTGCTTTCCCCCAACACTTAGAACAGTGCTCCTATATGCAACAACAATAATTTCTAGGTATGAAATTCAAAGGATTTTTCATTTCATTTAAAACAGGCAAGAAACAAACACGGATTTTAGCTGCTCAGACACACAGTCTTAAAATATCAAAAATAATTTCAGAATAAAGCTAGATTCCACAACATCCATCAGGAGTTTCAACTGAGGAAATGATGAATGACAATGTTCAAACAAACAGGCCTGTCAGATGCATCAGAATCACAAGCACGTGGCAAGGATCATGTGTCCCAATTAAGTGAGTATCTTGTTCCGTATTCACCAGCTCATAAACAGATGATGAACCAGAGCAGACTGCCCTGATGACTCTTGGAGGAAGAAAGGAATGACATCACTGGAGACCCTGAAGGCCTGTGCTCAGGCAGATGGCACACACACACACAGCCTAGGCTGTGATTGCTGAACCCCATGCTGAATGGCAAAGAAACCCGTCTCATGACCAGCTATCAGGGGAATTCTCTGAGCCAGACAGTCACCTCTAACTCTTCTGCCAGTTAAGGCGAAGGGGGCTCTTTGTGATAAGTGTGATGTTACACTCCTCAAATGCGTAGTTATGATAGCTTTTCTTAAATGCTTATTCAAACATTTATTCGTGAATAAGGGAAGGAAATGGGATTTGTTTAAATTCAATTTCTAGGTCCAATGCAACCTATTATGGCTGTCCCCAATACTGAACCCCCGGGTTGTCATCAGTACCCCACCCCACACAGTCCCCTCAAACTAGTCACAGCCTCCAGATTGAGCCCCGAATCTGTAACCACTCCAAACAATACTCCCCAAAGTGCCAATGCCCTAAATAGACCCCCTGCCATCACCAACCACCAGAGAACCCTCTTCTGTCATCCATACCTACAAAATCCCCCTGTTGTCACCAACGCCCCAGGCAGGTTTCCCTAATGAATAGTCCTCTATAAGAGCCCTATCCCATCAGCCATAGCCCCACTCACCCCTTCCCCTTACCAACGTCCACCGAGACCCCACTCCTGTTACCAGTTCTCGAATATCCCCTCCCCATTCACCAATATCCCTCACGGACATCTGTCACCAACTCTGTCATCCCCACTCCGCCGGCAGTCCCTCTCAGCGCCCTCTCCTGTCCCGCCCCTTGACATGCGGCCCCGCCCCTTGACATGAGGCCCCGCCCCTTGGCGCGGCGTCCCAGCGAGCGGCGCCGGAAGCTCCGCCCCCTGAAGGTTGCTAGACTCCGGTAGCCGGAAGTCCCGCCTGCCGTGTAGTCGCCGCCGCCGCCGCTACCGCTGCCGCCGCCGCCGCCGCCGCCGCCGCCGTCGTCGTCGTTGTTGTGGTTGGTGCGCTGAGCTCCGCGGCTCCGAGAGCCGGCTGCATCCTTTCCCCGCTGCCGCCGCCGCCATGAAGTGGATGTTCAAGGAGGACCACTCGCTGGGTAAGCGCTCGGCCATTGGCCCCGCCGTGGGGGCTGGGGCGGCGGGTGGGCCCCCTCCCCCACTCGGGCCGCCCTGGGTTGGGCCCGGCGGGGCGGATGCCGCACTCTGGTCTCGGGTCGCCGAGGTCCCGGCACCCCGGGCGGCTGCCCACCCACCCCGCGCCGACCTCTGCGGGACCTTCCGGAGCCAGTGGACCGGGGACCGAGGTTGCCGGGACGCCTGAACGAGGACCTGGGGCGTTCGCAGGTCACGGTGGGGAGGAGGGCCGGGAGCTCGGGACCCGGCCGGCCGGTCAGGCGCGACAGTCAGCCCGGTGCGTTTCTCCCATAGAACACAGATGCGTGGAATCTGCGAAGATCCGAGCGAAATATCCCGACCGGGTTCCGGTGAGTGGACTCCCCGCCCCCTCACTTCGCTGTCACCCTTGTTGTTTAGGACCGGTGATAGGGCCCCAGGCCATTCAACAGTTGACAAGTTTAGATTCCAGTCCCAGTTATAGTAGTAGATGGGCCAGACTGGGTAAGGGACCAGCTGGGGCCGGGGCGTGAGGGGCTTGAGTTGATGCTGTTCAGGATGCCTCAGTGCTGAATCTCCTGATCTAGGCCAACAAGCTGTCAGAAGCCTCTGGGCTTCCCTAGACAATTATGTAATAAACGATGTTCTAGGACAGGGCAACAGGTCACAGCCACTTTTGGGAATGGTGGTGGAGGGAGACTTTCACTTTGGTCTTGGAAGTGGTACTTTAGTCTCAGGACATTGATCTTTAACTTTGAGCCTCCATCTTTACCTGACTTCTAGTTCCCTTTTCTCACTCTGATCTTGACATTCTTTCCTGACTAAAAAAATCTGAGAAGCCACTTCTAGTGGCTTGTGTTTAATCAATGATACTTATCCTGTATTTATCCTATGGTAGGGGAGATAGTTTCTGTAACCCTTATTTATTTTTAAGGACATCCAGGCCTGTTATTGTAGCTTATTGCTTGTGAACAGTTCCTTTGCGGAGGGGGCAGGAGGGATAAATTTGAAACTTAGTTCAGAGAGAAGCAACAGGCCAAATGAAGAGCTTCGTTCTTGGCTGGCTGGGCTTGCCAGTCATTTCCATTAGTCCATCCATTCTCATTTCCTGTGTTCCTTGAGATCTTAATTCCTCTGTAGTGTGAAGGCAGATCCATTCTGTGGTCCAGCCTGGAGTAACAGGCTGTAGAGGAAACCCTCACCAGATATTTTCGAGTCTGCCCAGACAAAATGTTGAAAAGCTTTGTAGTGAGGGCTGTGTTTCTCTTATGTGTGCTGACATCAGGGATGAGAAATATAATAGTTGACCACAGAAAAGCACTTACCGTTTCCCTATAACACATTTATATCAGTTCTTAACCTCCAGAGTGTGTGGTTTATTAAATCAGGGGCATATTTTCTCATGTTATGCAGTTTCCCAAACACCTCCTTGCCCACACCCTGTTCATCAGCTCTCCAACAATGCAGGGCCAGAGCCTCACATTAGAAATCTAGTCCTGACCTTTCTTTGCTTTCACAGGTGATTGTGGAAAAAGTCTCAGGCTCTCAGATTGTTGACATTGACAAACGGAAGTATCTGGTTCCATCTGACATCACTGTGGCTCAGTTCATGTGGATCATCAGGAAAAGGATCCAGCTTCCTTCTGAAAAGGCAATATTCCTGTTTGTGGATAAGACAGTCCCACAGTCCAGGTGAGAGCTGTTTACTGCTATTGGCCATCTGCTTGATTGCTTACAGAACTCAAAACTTTGGAGGTCTGAAAACTCTTAGAGGTCCTGACGAGAAATCTGATTTTTGTGCTCCCTGACATCAGGAGTTCAAGGAAAACAAGAAAGGGCTTCAATAGGTGGGTGTGCGCTTTGGGTTAAAAAAACAGAACAAGGCCTGGACTTAAATATCATCATTTCTTTTTTTTTTTTATCCTCAAACACCCAAGAATCCTTTTAAATAGTTCAGGACTTAATTAGGCTTAAGCTATCAGTAGAACTGAAGCCTGAAACGAGGTTTTCTCCAAATGATCCATGAAATAAGTCCTGTCGTTCTTCCCCAGGAGCTTGTGGTCTCTGCTGAGGCTCAGCTTCAGTTAATCACCCTGCCTACTTGCTCGCTTTCCAGGCTCAGCTCTGGCCACTGTGAGAGTACCCTGAGAGCAGCTGCCTGATCCTCAAGTACGTGGAAATGGCTGCTGGCCAGCAAAGGGCTCTGAGGTCTCTTTACAGACTTACACCTCTCTTGGTACCACCTGCTCTGACTTTCAGAGTAACCACCCCCTTGCTCTTGCTCTTGTGCTGCCTGGAAGCAATCTTTGGGATAACTTGGGGCCTGAATCTAGGCAGGGGCATTACAGTTCCCTTCTAGGTAGTTGACAGTCTGACTTTAGTCCTCTGTGGAAAGAGGAAAATTTTCTGGCTCAGTCTGTATCCCTGGTCAGTCCTTTCCTATTACTGATTTGAGTACTTCTAGGCCCCTCCTCTGAATGTGAATTCCTGGCTGCGTCTCATCTTAGTGACCCAAACTAAGTTTCATTTGTTATCCCCCCAAAAATAGTACTTCTGAAGCTAAGGCTTTAAGAACTCCTGGGAACTAGCCCAATGTGGCCAAAATATGTTTCTTTTGAAAATCCTTGAAAGCTCCAGAAGAGGCCTAAGCCAAGTTCTAGTCCTTTTCCTATGAAAGGTAGACAACTCTGGCTACTTTTTGGTCTGATTTTCTCTTTCCCAGTCTCTACCACCTCCACCTCGTGGTGTTTGGCAGAGGATAAGGGAGAAATGGAAGGTTCTTCCGTTAGGCCAAGGTTCTGCTTGAGGAGACAGGCCAGGTCCTGCCTAATGGGTGCCACTGGTCTGCTTACAGCTGTAGCTCAGGAAGCTGCGGTGTTGCCAGGGGTGACCTGGTCATCCCATTGGGCTCTCCCAGCCTTCCTTCACAGGCCTCTGGGCAGTGTGGTGCTAGGCACACTCTTCACCAGGGAAGGCTGGTGAAGCCCTGGGCATCTGTGGTCACTCTCCGCTTCCCTTCAGGTAGTGGGGGAGGTAAATCTTCATTCATGCCACCTGCAACTTCTGCAGCTCCTTGGTGGCCCTATGTTTTCTCCTTCCTGGTGGTGGCTTCTTATGGGAGGAAGTAGGTGACTAGGATCTGTGGCATTGAGTTTTATTTTCCTTGATTCTAATCCTCTGATACTTCTTGAAAGAAATGAAGCAGGCTTCTGGAGACATTAAGATTACGTTATCTAGCAATTAAAATGGCTGAAGATTTTAACTAACGCCCTCTCCCCCATTATCCCTGAAATATAAATAGAATTGGAAATGAAAAGTGATTCTCAGGGCGGCAGAGGCTGCTTCAGGGCCATTTTCTCTCTAAGTTTTATTTGCCTTTCCAACCTGGTAAGAATCCTCCCTGAAACAGATTACACCAGTGACCCAAGTCACTAACCAGCCCCTCTGCCCAGGCTCTTCAGCGCCCTTGGACCCAGTTAATGACTTCCTGCCCCATATTTAATGTACCAGTTCTTTGTTTGTTTGGTTTTATTCTTAAAAACAAATTTGCTTATAAATAAAAGAGGCATGTGACATCATTGGCCTTTATGCAACTGATGGCTTCACAAACAAAATTGCCAGTCTCCTTCCTAAAGCTATTGTTTGACTCAGTGTTGCCATTTCCTCCCCAAGGCAGTAGCAGCCTCTTTCGTAGCACTTTTCAGCCTCCTTAGGGAAGCATGGAGCCTCCTTTAACCTTCAGCCAGTGCTTGCAGCCTTTGGAGAGTGGCTGGGGAAATCAGAGTTGAGAGAGGAGGAGCCCTCCCCCATACCATAACAGACAGATCTACACAAGGATAATTTACGTCTGAGGCTGAGCGAAAGTAACTTCATTTGTTCCTGCCTTGGAGCGGAACTTTGCAGGTGACCATCACGTAAAATAACGTGATTATTGTTTGAGTAGTTAGTATTAAATATTGATTCTAGAAACAGAGACAGAAGCAAGTCTCTAAGAGTTTTACTTTCAAAATTCTGAGTTCTCTTTTTTAAAAAAGGGGAAATCTCAACTGCCTTTTCCCATTTCCCATTGAAAAGTTGAATTCTCTGCCTAGGTGCCTGCATCCAGAATTGGGCCAGAAACGAAGGGAAAACTATGCCTTGGTGCAGACAGGACTTGAGAAAGAATATCAGTGTATGTTTCCCAGTCACGGCTTTAGAGGGGAACCCAGACGTGGCAGTGGTGCCCACCTTTGGTCTTTGTTTAGAGCACAGATAAGAGTCTTCTTAATCCCCTGTCTAAAATAGAAACAGGAGTATATTATTAAATAAAATATATCTAAGATGTTATAACTTGGGAATGTTACATTGGGAAATCCGTGCTGTTTAAGATTATGGTGTTTAGTTGCTCCTGGCTCTTAAAGAGGTACTAAGTAAAAGAAGTTGTGATGTCTTACAGTCCAGACTTCATTTAGAAAGGTGCTTAAATGAAGCACATTTGATCATTTCTGGGTAAATACCTCTTCAAGAGCAGGGTTTATCTTAACAGTGGAATAGAGTTTATTTATATCAGAGAAAAATCTGATAAAAGGAATAAGCAGTAGTTAATTTTTGTATTTTAGAATCTTGGGCAGCCTTTAGGGCCATGTTAACGTTCACTCTGAGGCCTGTGCCTTTCCAGGATCCACAGCAGTGGCCGTTGTCCTTCCAGTTCACCCCACCCACCCTCCCCCTGCTGGGAAAGAGATAAATCCAGATACAGTGGAAGCACGTGGGGCGCAGAGCAGATGGATGGCCGGGTGGCCCATCAGCCCAGCCAATTCCTGAGTCAGGCTGGACCCCACAGCCTCCGCAGCCTGGCCTTGGCTGGGCCCAGGGGAAGGCTGTGCAGGGATAGGGCATCCACACAGTTCTAGGTCAGCCTCCCCCAGTTCGTAGGCTGGTGAGCAGCTTGAAACTGGTGTGCCCTCAGCAGCATGGCCATTCCTGGGTGTGGATCCTTCTGAAAAGTGCCTTTATTATTGGTTAGTTTGTCTAGACCGGTTTATCTTGAATGGAAGTGTAGGGGACAGGGTTTTAGGGGGCAATTTAGGTTCACTTCACTCAGTACTTCAGGGTCCCACCATACCTTTAGCTTGGCTCCATGGCTTAAATCTGCCACTGGCTTTCCCATTTCTTCCCTTGTCAGACTCAGAGCTTGAAGGTGGCAGTCCCCTACCACCACTGCTCAGCAGCCTTCTTCTTGGATGAGTGTCTCTTTGCTTTCAGATCCTCTGCTGCTCCAGTAGTGGCCCATCTGGTGCTGTGTGGCTTGGGCCTCTGGATTCTGAGAGGGGAGCCCGACTTCTCAGAGGTGTACAGAACTTGTCCTAAAGGAACACACCAGCCTTCTGCTGTATGCTGCCTGCTGAAAAGGGGCACGTTTTGCATCCCTGCCCTTCCACTTGGCTATACTTTTTTTTTTTTTAAATTATTTTGTGTCCCTCATGACTTTTTTTTTAAAGAGGGCTCTTTTTTAAAAAATTTAATTTAATTTAATTATTTATTTTTGGCTGTGTTGGGTCTTCATTGCTGTGTGTGGGCTTTCTCTAGTTGCGGTGAGTGGGGACTACTCTTCGTTGTGGTGTGCGGGCTTCTCATTGGAGTGGCTTCTCGTTGCGGAGCACGGGCGCTTCAGTAGTTGTGGCATGTGGGCTCAGTAGTTGTGGCATGTGGGCTCAGTAGTTGTGGCTCGCGAGCTTAGTTGCTCCGCGGCATGTGGGATCTTCCCGGAACAGGGCTCAAAGCCGTGTCCCCTGCATTGGCAGGCAGATTCTTAACCACTGCACCACCAGGGAAGCCCTTGGCTATTCTTTTTTTTTTTCTTCTTTTTTTTGCTTGGCACCCTGCACCCCACTCCACAAGAACCAAGCCTGACCCAGCGTGGCCTTGAGTGCTGCCGCCTCACCAGACCCTCTCTCCTGCTTTCCCTCCCACCGCCCGGGATCCAGCTTCCCTCCTGCTGCCTCAGCCATCAGCGACAGCGACACCCTCTCCTCCCCTCCCACGGCTCCCCACGCCAGGTTGCTGCACCAGACAGCGGGTAACCGCCTTGGCTATTCTTTTAATGGGACTTTTTTTTCTTTTTAATTTATTTTATTATTTTTGGCTGCATTGAGTCTTTGTTGCTGCATGTGGGCTTTCTCTAGTTACGGCGAGCGGGGACTACTCTTTGTTGTGGTGCGCGGGCTTCTCATTGCGGTGGCTTCTCTTGTTGTGGAGCACGGCTCTAGGTGCGTGGGCTTCGGTAGTTGTGGCTTGCGGGTTCAGTAGTTGTGGCATGCGGGCTCTAGAGCGCAGGCTTAGTAGTTGTGGTGTATGGGCTTAGTTGCTCCATGGCATGTAGGATCCTCCTGGACCAGGGCTCGAACCCGTGTCCCCTGCATTGGCAGGTGGATTCTCAACCACTGCGCCACCAGGGAAGCCCCTTAATGGGACTTTTAAAAAAAGTATTTTTAAACTATATTTGTAGCCCTGCTCTTTTTTGGCTCCAGACCAAGTTATTCTGACTCTGTATGTGTGTGGCCTGATCCCACACGTGCTGTTTTTGAATTATACTGTACAGATGCGCCAGTCTTCTTTCTCGTCACCTAGAGAAGCCTTGGAATCAGGCGTTCAGTCACGGGCTGCTGACTGGAGCATTTAGCTCCCAGTGTTGAGCATTGTCAGTTTTCAAGTTCCTGCCCAAGGGATACTCTGAGTATAAGGACACTGTGCTACTGCCAACTAAGTAGAGTTTCCATATGACACTGCGTGGCAGAGAAAAGGAGAACAGTGAAAGGGCTCTTAAAATCATTAGGCACAGCCATCTAATTGTAAAATTACAGGATCTGAAGGACCTGCTGCTCAATGTGTGATACAGAAGCTGGCAGCAGTGGCCTTCCCTGGGAATTTGTTAGATAGAAATGTAGAATCTCATCCTTGACCCAGACCTTCAGAATCAAAACAGGCACTTTAACAAGACATCCAGGTGATTCCCTATGCATGTTTGTATGTGTGAGAAGTGCTATTCTAAGGGAGGTCTTCACAAAAGGTACAAGAATGCTGACATTAGGTCATTAGATCTAGTTGTGTATTCACATGGAGGCAGCACAACTTGGTGGTAAGAATGTCTCCTAGCTTTGTGATCTGGCATGAATTAGTTAACCTCTCTGTGCCTCACTTTGTTTTTTAAATTAACTTATTTATTTTGGCTGTTTTGGGTCTTCGCTTCTGTGCGAGGGCTTTCTCTAGTTGCGGCGAGCGGGGGCCACTCTTCATCGCGGTGCGCGGGCCTCTCACTATCGCGGCCTCTCTTGTTGCGGAGCACAGGCTCCAGACGCACAGGCTCAGTAGTTGTGGCTCACGGGCCCAGTTGCTCCGCGGCATGTGGGATCCTCCCAGACCAGGGCTCGAACCCGTGTCCCCTGCATTGGCAGGCAGACTCTCAACCACTGTGCCACCAGGGAAGCCCTGTGCCTCACTTTTATTATCTGAACTATGGATTATGATTGTACCTGCCTCCTAAGATTGTTCTGAGGGTAAAGAGTTAATACATGTAATGCACTTAAAACAAGTGCTTGGCACATAGTGCTTGCTATTATAATTAGAATTTTTATGATCAGCCTTTATAGCTGCTAGGGCACTGTTAAATTTATAAACCAAAGTTTTACTTAAAAGACAATGGAATCTGAAGACAGAAAGCCACATGATTATGGGTCCTCCTCCCCCAACCCCGTCAGTCTCAGAGCCTGCCTTAGACAGTAGTCGTTCCGTGGTCTTGTTCACTGCAGACAACGTTCAGAGTCTGGGGTTTATAAGCTCCTCAAGTATTTCTAACTCAGCAGCACAACTTAGAGTCACTGCCCTTGGGCTTGTAACTTGCTAGGAGAAGAGCAGAACTTAGTCTGGCAGATGGAACCAAACTTGACATAGGCATCAAGGTGTGGCTGCCGCCTTTGAATTGCACACAGTGTCTGCTCCTTCCAAACCCCTTTGGTAATGATAGTGGGGAGACTGTAGTTCAGGTCTTATCACGGTCACCCTGGACACTTGTACCAAGCGTGGCAAGAGAGTTGTGGCAGTAGCGGTAGCTGTTTTCCCCTTTGCCTCATTCTGAGGATTCTCAGGGAAAAGCTGGGTTCCTCAGGGCATTCCTAACCACCAGGGTAAAAGTCTTCTTGAGAGACCCCCGCTACTTGTTCAAGCCCTTTGCTAGTTGCTGGCTCTTCACTCCACTTCCTGGCTCACTCTACTTCCTAATCCCATGCTTTTAAAGATAAGCATCTCCAAAACAAACAAAGACAGACAAGCATCTCTCCCTCTGGCAAAGGGATTGTTTCTCAACTTGGCTGCCTATGGAATCATCTTGGGCATTTTTAAAAAACTAATTAATTTATTTTGGCTGCGTTCGGTCTTGCTGCGCGCGGGCGGGCTTTCTCTAGTTGCGGTGAGCGGGGGCTACTCTTCATCGCGGCGCGCAGGCTTCTCATTGCGGAGGCTTCTCTTGTTGTGGAGCATGGGCTCTAGGCGCACAGGCTTCAGTAGTTGTGGCATGTGGGCTCAGTAGTTGTGGCGCACAGGCTTAGTTGCTCTGCGGCATGTGGGATCTTCCTGGACCAGGGCTCGAACCCGTGTCACCTGAATTGGCAGGCGGATTCTTAACCACTGTGCCACCAGGGAAGTCCCCATCTTGGGCATTTTAAAACTTACTGATGCCTGGGTCCTACCTCCAGAGATTCTGATTTAATTGGTCTGGGGTGGGGCATGTCTTTCAAGCTCCCCATTGTTTCTGCTGTGCAGCTGAGGTTGAGACCTACCACCCACCACAGGTGTTCTCATGGGCACGGGTTCCTCCCTCTACCTGCTGCCCCCCAAGTCCTCACATGTTCCAGGGCAGTGTCGTCAATAGAAATGGCATGTGAACCACATATGCAATCTAAAATTCTCTAGTAGCCACATAAAAAAAAGAAAAACAGGTGAAGTTAATTTTAATAGTATTTTTTTTATCTGGTATATCCAAAATGGCATCATTTCAACATGTAGTCAAAATTGAGATATTTTACATCTTTTTTTTCATACTCTGATACTTTGAAATATTGTGTATGTTTTACACTTACAGCACATAGCAATTCAGATGAGCCACATTTAAAGTGCTGAACATAGTGGCGACTGCATTGGACAGCAGAAATATAGGACATTTCTATCACAGGAGAAATTTGTAGTGGACAGTGCTGTTTCAGGGAGTCCTTATTTTACAAATTCCAGTTAGATCCTCACAGGAAGCACGATTTTACTGTACAAGATGCCAGTGACAGGCCATTCTGTATTCATACTCATCCACTCCTACATTATTACTAGTTCTCATCTACCCACACAGCCGAACCAGCTAAGCTTGAAAATGGGCAGGAAGAGTAGGAAAGGAGAAAAACTCCCCTTTGTAAGTAAATGTGGTCTGCATTCCTGTTTACATGGTGGTCCCATACAGCTGCCAGGAGCAAAGCAGCAGCATGGGGCAGTCTTTGCTTCACCAGCTTGAGGCCTCCAACCCCTCTTTATCTACCCTCTGGCCCTTGTTCTCCTGAGTCCTGCCTTTTAAGCATCTGTTAAGACCTGTCCGGGCTTAGTGACCTCTGTCACCTCGGGGGCCGGCTCTCAGACTGCTTTGTCAGTGCTGGTTCTGGTTGACCCCACCACGCATGGTCATGCTGAGGTTTAGCACATGTCTGCACCTCCTGCTTATCTCTAATAGAGCAGTCATGTGGCCAGAGCTCACCTGGGGCTCCAGGTGTTGCTAGTCTTACTCTGGAGCCAGTGCACCTCAGCTTCATGGCAGAGAACTAGATTAGGTCTCCCCTGCTGCAGTCTGTTTTACTGCTGAGGGAAAGCCAGCTCTCCCACCCACACATGTTTAGTTTGAGCAATATCTATTTCTGGAGGGTTCTTAGGAAGCTTGGGCAAGACTTCTTTGGATCCCAGATATAATATGAGAGCTTTTTGCATTACATGTGAGGAAAGTAACTTCCCTTCGATGACGCCGATGCAGATCTCTGGGGCACAGGGTTTCTGGCGGGCGAACTTCCACAGGAATCAGCCCACTCATTCTTTATCATGCTAGGTATGAATTATAAATCTTCAAATAGACCAGCCCTGAGGAGAGGAAAGCACAAGTACTCGTCCTTACCTTTGTCTCTCACCCACACAGGGATGGGCCTCTTAGACTCTTATTTTGCTTATTAGCTTTTCTCCCTAGCCGCCCCCCCCATTCAGAAAGCATTGCGAAAGCACTAACCAGTACTAACCAACCACATCCACCCTAGGAGCTAGAGCTGGCTTCTGAAGGAATACCTTGGTGTAAGGGTGAGTCAAATGGCCTTGCCTGGGACAGGAGGATGGAGGTTGATTCTAGTCTTATCTGCCGATTCCTAGAGAATTACTTTTTATCACCTACCACCAAAGGTGTGACAGAGTAGCTAGTTTAAGTAGTGAAATTCCTTATCCTCAAGCCATCTTTCTCCCAACACGTAGACTCAGTAATCAAACCCAATTCTCAATGTTGTTTTTTGTTTTTCTCTTTCAAGCCTAACTATGGGACAGCTTTACGAGAAGGAAAAAGATGAAGATGGATTCTTGTATGTGGCCTACAGTGGAGAAAACACTTTTGGTTTCTGAGGGCCAGTGCTGGGCTAGGTGCACCATTCCTGCTTGTGTATCTTGTAAATAGCTGGCCATTTTCAGTTACTATACCAGAACCTCTTAACATAGACCTATCAGTGCATTTGTAACTGGATTTATTTCTTAATATATTGGAAGGTATTGTTTCCTTAGACTAGTAAATTATCATACAGAGTTTTATTTTGAGTTTTTCTTTTTGTGCACTGTCCTCATGGCTATACTCTCCAGGGAACTTGTTCCTCTGGGAATCTTATTTAACGAAGATATTTCCATATTGAAGAGAGGTAGGTGGGAATTAAAATGAAAGGGAGGGAGATGATGCATTTATTCTCGATTATGTTTGAGGTGTTAGATGGCTAAGTATTAAAAGCATCCAAATTAAATCCTTAGCAATCAGAACACTTGCTTCACTAGATTTTGCCAACTGCCAATCATGTTGGACTGAGCTAATCTGTTCCTCTTTCTGAAACTGTTAAGGTAAATAATTAACAATAAAACTTCCTCTTATAAAGGCATTGCAGTGTGACCATGTCCTTTATTCACCTTCTTATAAATGGGTCAGAGAAGTAGCTCCTACATCTGCCAGGCTAGGAGGAGCATTTGTGGGGCCTATGGCAGCACAGCTGGGCACAGGAAGCAGTGGTCTGTGTCATGAGGAGGGAACTTTTTTTTTAAGTGGTTAATATATTCACATGATTCAGATGTCGAGTCTCTCTAAAAAGGTATACATGGAGAAGTCCTTCTCCCACCACTGTTTTCTGATTACCCTAACCCTCCACTTTTTGGGAAACTACTTGTACTGGCATCTTGTTTCTTTTCAGAGTTTGTTTTTGCAAGTTCAGTTAAATATGAATATATGTCCAAAATGTTTTTTTCTTATACAAAAGAGAACACATTATATCTACACTTAAGTACATTGGTTTTTTAAAAAACAGTATATCCTAGTGATCTTTGTATATCAGTTCATAGAAAGCCTTTAAATTTATTTTAGTATCGCATTGTATGGATATATCATTATTACTGAAACTGAACAGGACCCTGTGGGGCTCCTGGGCACAGAAGCCTTTACGTGTTCCCCGTTTCTTGTAGGGAATAGACTCCAGCCTCCATGACCTTCCCTGAGTTTCAAAGGGCAGATTCAAACAGTTGCTGATCAGGGAAGGGAGGGGATGCAGAGACAAGGTGGTAGGAGCAGCCAAGAAACAACAGTGTAGCCTTGGGGCAGGTCCTGGTTCCAGGTCAAGGGGTACACATAACACCTTTGAGCTCTTTACAGAACTAAAACTCCCAACAAATGGAAGATGTTAGCATTCTTCATTCCAGAGAAGACCACCTGAGGCCAGATTAAAGGAACCAGAGAAGCTTATCAAGAGACCATCTGAGGCCTGGGACTGCCCTGGTGGTCCAGTGGCTAAGACTCCTTGCTCCCAACGCAGGGGACCTGGGTTCGATCCCTGGTCAGGGAACTAGATTCCCCCATGCCTCAACTAAAGGTCCCACGTGCTGCAACTAAGACCCAGGCAGCCAAATAAATAAATACTAAAAAAAAAAAAAAAAGAGAGAGACCACCTGAGGCCAGATTAAGGGAAACAGAGAAGCTCAGTAGGAGGAGACCACCTGGGGCCAGATTAAAGGGATGCAGGCCCTGCACACACCCTAACCTTATGGGCAACTCTGCCCATTGCTATAAAACTCCTCACCAAATCCCCCCGAGGTTGGGATACACAGTTTTTGAGGCACGAGCCCACTGTGTCCCCCTTTGCTTGGCAAAGCAATAAAGCTTTTCTGCTTCACCCAAAACTCTTGTCTCCGAGATTGAATGCAGCACTGGTGCACAGAGGCTGAGTTTTCAGCAACATTCCTAACTAGTGCCCTATTAACGGCATTTGGGTGGTTTGCAGTCTTTTACTATTACATACCGTGTTGGAATGATAACCATACACGTTATATGTACATGCATTCACGGTGCTGCTTTACAACCACTTTGTACAAATGAAAATTCAGATTTTTCCAGGCCATACATTTTATGATTTCTCACAAATTAGATGTGTAGGCTTGCCACTACACAGATGCATCTAAAAGGAAATGCTTATTTACTTCTCTAAGTCTTCCCCAGACTGTGGCTGGAGGCTAAAGCCATTACACAGATCATCAGAATAAAGAAACCAGGTATCATCCAGGGATCTAAGAACATGTAGTTAAAGTGACTATCCAATTTTCTACTGGGGAAGGAACAAAGAGATTTAACTTCATCTTTACCAAATTATGTAAGCAATCCCTCCAAGTACTCGACTAATGTCAGCTTTCCAGATGGGATCAGAAAGCCAACTGTTTTTCTTTTAAAAGTAGTTTATAGTTAGCATTTATTGAGCACTCACTAGATATACCAGATAATTTACATACATTGTTGCAATTAATCTTCAAAAAGCCCTTACGAGATAGTGTCATTCTTGCAGCCAGCCACACTGCCAACGAGTGGCAGAACTGAGACTCCAAACTTGAGATTTAAGAGAAAAGACATAGCTGGCAGTGTCATTTTGTGATTTTTTTTTTTTCCTATTTACAGTATGTCTCACACTGTGCTAGACACTGGGGAAAATATGAATAAAGCATTACCCCCTACTCCAGAAGCTTACAGTCTGGTGCTAACCAACACATAAACAATTACAAAGCACTGTTCTAAGTGGTATGTAGAAAGTATTATTGGAACAGAGGAGAGAATAACTGTTACCTATAAAAACTATTCAAGCAGCCTTATTTGTAATATCAGTCAATAAAAATGGATTTGTTAATATTGCTTTTAAAATGCAACAGATGAGTGAAGGTTTTTTTTTTTTTAAAAGGGAATTCCTTGGCAGTCCAGTGGTTAGGACTCTGCACTTTCACTGCCGAGGGCCTGGGCTCAATCCTTGTTCGGGGAACTAAGATCCCACAAGCCACGCAGTGTGGCCAAAAAAAAAAAGTTGCACGTAGTCTCCCCCGACTCTAGTCTGTAACAGACACTAGTAAGATTTTACAGATGAATTTTATCAAACTATGTAAGGAAACTTTAATCCTTTCTTAAAATTTCAGAGATTAGGAAAAGGGAATAATCAAAAATTAATTTTGAGACAAAATCTCAATGGCCAAAACTTTATGAGAAAAATTATACATTGATCTCATCAACATAGAAAAATCCTAAATATTAGTAAATAAAATTCAGTAATATACCAAAACAATCATGACCAGGTAGCACTTAGCCCAAGAATGGGTTATATAGTTCATCATTATGTCTATTAATAAAACACCAATTTTTTTTTTTTTTTTTTTTGCGGTACTTGGGCCTCTCACTGTTGTGGCCTCTCCCGTTGTGGAGCACAGGCTCCGGACGCGCAGGCTCAGTGGCCATGGCTCATGGGCCTAGCTGCTCCGCGGCATGTGGGATCTTCCTGGACCAGGGCATGAATCCGTGTCCCCTGCATCGGCAGGTGGACTCTCAACCACTGCACCACCAGGGAAGCCCTAAAACACCAAATTTAACAAAGGAGAATGTTGGGCTGTACCTCGCAGGCCTTCAAGGCCTGTACTTGCCCAGCCTCAGACTGAAGAAAGAGCCCAGAGTCAGTGACAGAGACATCAGTTGTTTAATGGATAGGGGATCTTACACGTCCGGAGCAAAAGGGTCCTGGAGTGACACTCCACTGTGGATGGCAGACAGCAGGCAGGACATGGCAGAAGTCCAGGAAGCTGTGTGTGGGGGGGAAGGTTACCTGTTATGGGGAACTGATGTCAGGTTGGCTCATCCATTACCAGGGAAACCATCAGAGAGGCATGTCCCTCAAACCCCCTTTGATAAAACTAGCAGGGTGGAGCTGTTTTGATATAAAGATTAGAAGAATCACTAGCTGGGGGCAAGTACATAGGCAGTTACTGATTAGGCTCTATGATTAAGAGGGAAGGTCAGCCATGTGAGTAGGGTGTAGGTGAAGCAGGGACTGGTTAAGCAGGGGATGTACAGAGAGCAAGAGAACAAGGCATCCTGGATGGCCTGATCACATGGCAAAAACTATATGATCATGTCCTAGATGAAGGGAAAGCACCTGAAACAACTCAAAACCTATTTATAGTTTTTTATTTTTAAACTTCTTAGCAAATTAAGATTTCTTTAATTTGATAAAGGGTATTCATAAAAACTCTATAGCAAATATGTACATTAGTATATAAAGCTATGGTGAGTATGGCAGTGTGGTACTGACAATGGGATAGGCAAATACTTTAATGGAACAGAACCCAGAAATAGATCTGTGTATAAAACATGTCAGAGGTGGCATGACAAGTCATCAGGGAAATGATGAACCAGTTAACAAATGGGACTGCAGCAATTAGTTACTTATATGGTAAAATTTCAGAGGCATTCCTATTAAAAACAGGAACTAAAAAAGGAAATCTGAAGGGTGAACTTTATGGTATGTGAATTATATCTCAATGAAGCTGTTGAAGTCTGCTATCAGTGCTTTTACTCAACTTTGTCCTGGCATAAAACGAATATAATGAGGAAATGTAAATGAGAGCCATAAGAATCAGAAAGGAAGACTAAACCATAATATACAGACAGTGATAATCCACATAGAAAAATCTAAGAGAATCTATACAAATTAGAATAAGAAAGTTCTCCATAGTTGCTGGATACAAGATCAGTTACAAATATTGATGATGTTTCTACACACCATTTGTAACCAGTTAGGGAATATTACAGGAAAAAATTTCAGTTTCAATAGGAGCAAAATGTATAAGTGCATAGGAATAAACTTAATATAAGATACACTAATATACCATATTCCAGGATGAGAACATCCAATATGGTAAAGATGCATATTGCCTCCAAGTTAATCTGTGAGTTTAATGCAATTTCAATAAAAATCCCAATCAGGTATGTGTGTGTATGTGTGGTATCTGACAATTGATGGTAAAATCCATGTAGGAGAGCAAAAGCCAAGGATAACCAAGAAGTGTTAAGAAAAACAGGCCAGGGAGATTTGTATTAGCAGTAATTAAGTAATTAAGACTATGCCATATGGCAAAGAGACAGACACATAAACCAGGGAACACAACAGAAACCCAGAAACAGATCCATGTTTAAAACATAGCTGTATTTTGGGAATTCCGTGGCAGTCTACTGGTTAGGACTCTGCACTTCCACTGCAGGGGGCACAAGTTCTATCCCTGGTCCGGGAACTAAGATCCCCGCAAGCTGCATGGCCAAAAAAAAAAAAAAAAAAAAAAAAAAAAAGGCAGTACTTTAAAGTATCTGGAGTGAAAAATCAAAGGGGAAATGATGAACTAGTTAATCCATTATTTAAAATTGGTTATATATACATGAAAATAGATTCCTATACTATATAATAGGATTATAAAATAAATTCAAGGTGAATTAAACATCTAAAGCTGGAAAAGCAAAACTTTAAAAAGAACGAAATAATGCCATTTGCAGCAACATGGATGGACCTGGAGATTATTATACTAAGTGAAGTAAGCC